GGGCGGGTCAGGAGAGGTCTGGCTCGCCATGTGGTCTCCTCCGGGGCAGGCGGCTGGCGGGGCAGGCGGCTGGCGGGAATCAAACTCATGCGGAAGTGGCCTCAGATTCTCAGTGCTGTGCTTTAACCCGCTGCGCCACCAGGGAGGGCCTTAAGTTACCTTTTTAACTGAGACTAATGCAGTGACATCTTTAGGTACCAAGTGCCCTTGACTGAAATTGTTAATCAGAAATATGTGCTACTATCCAACTTTCAAGGAAAAAAAAAAAGTATATAAGCAGTTTTTAAAACCAGAACATTCTAGACCACACTGTGGGGTCTGCACAGACTGGCTTGTCACTGTACTTTATTAGCAAACCTTCAGTGAGTACTTTGTGTGCCAGAATCTATACTTGATTCTGATCAGATTCATCCATGTGAATCTGATTCACATTCAGATTCTTATCTCATTCTCTGTAAAAATCTTCAGAGAGAGGGCAGTTAGCCCCACAATGTAAGAAAGGAAATGATTTCTGAGAAATCAAGCAATTTGTTCATGATAGAATTCAAACTGGATTGTCTAAGGAATAGAATTTTTCCAATGAAGACCTGCAATATGTAATATTAGTTTACTCCCTATTCTCCATCAAAATCTTTTCTGACCTTATTAGTTACTCCTTTTATCTTGAAAAGGAAAAACTGTTTCCCAATATTCTACCCACAGTCTTCCTTATTAATCTTTCTATACTTCGATATTTCACCAAACTCTGACTTCTTTGTAGTGTTCTTGGATGAATCGCCAAGTCAAGCAGATGTGGCCCCACTTCCATGTCTAAGTGTCTCCGAGTCATTAATAATGCTTTTAGCCTCCCTGATACTTCATCCTCATCCATAAATTTTAGCTAATAATATCTTGCAAGTTTGGGGTGAGGGATAAAGGAGAAAATAGACCAACGGTACCTGACACACAGAAAGTGCTGAGGGAAGGCAGATGCTTTCTTCTTGGCTTTTGATTCTAGTTTTTCCTAAGTTAGTCAAACTTGGTTTCAATACACAGTTGAAATTTAACACTACAATCTTCCTCTCTCTGAATTTCTTTTGAATCCTCCCAATTACACAAGTTGAAAATCCATTCATTTTGATAATTCTCCCTTGTCTGCCATATCCAATTGCTTGCTGACACCTGGAGAGTTGAGCACTTTAGAGTTACTCCTACACTGACCCATTCCCATCTAGTTCCCATCCTACTTTAGGCCACCACTATAGTGTTCCAAATTTTACAGCAGCTTCCCAAATGATCTCCCTCTCCTTGTCTCACCAACTCCCTTCTATCTTGCACACGATGTTCCCATTAATTTTTTGCTTTTTTAACAGCAATTTAGCATTGATTTTATATAATTTTACTTTGAGTACTGTCACAATTCTAGTTCAGTTTCCATTAGTTAAGTGTGCAATAGCTAGATTGTCTTACTTTATACTTTTACTGGTTCTAGTAAATTTTAATGTCAAATCAACAAACATTTATTGGTCACTTTCAGTTATCTCTTCTCCTTTTACCAAAATATAACATTATGTAAATCTTTAGGTGAACAAGAAAAATAGAAATGTAACAAGGATCAAACTTGAAAAGGTTCTGGTAGGAACATGATTCTGGTAAGAATCCATACCTACATTTTACCTAAAGAATTATTCATTCTGTATTTCAAAGAACTCATCTTTGAATAGAAAACATGTGGAAGCAAAATCATCATTCAGTAAGGTAAGAATTCTTTATGTGAACTAAGTGAATTGAATGTCAGAAGTGAAATTTGAAGTGAGCCTTGAAGGACAGAAGTTCTGATTGCATTCAAGAATTAGAGAAGTCACAGTAAATTCAAAAGCACCAAAGTGTAATGGTGTGTGATAATCCCTAGAGAAGTCAAATGAGTAGAGTGACAGAATTGGGTCATGCTTAGGGCATTTGTATCATGGTCAAGAGTTTAGATTTGACCTTATCACTATCAAGAAGCCATTAGATACACGTTATGCCAGCAAACTTTTCTTTAGCCGTCTGATTTGTGTTGCCTCTGCTACAGGGTCAGTTGCAAAGCCAAATGTGTTGCCAGCCATGGCAGGCTCTCTGCAACAAATACAGAAAAACTGGAGCCCTAGTAAATGATTTAGCCTTCTATACTTATTGAACATTCTTTATTCTTCTATTATGACTTTGAAGATACCAGTATGAACTGAGCTAACCGAGTGTTTTGGAAACCTGACTGAGAGGGTTTAGTTTACACTCAATATAAATATAACGTGTGAAGTTAGAAGTCTATTTTCTTCCTCTGTGTCTTTGAACTCGATTCAGATCAAGCATGATTATTATGATTTCTACCTTTGTCCCCTACATTCACATATCTTAGTTGCAGGAGAGATCGCTTGCAGGTAGGGCCCCTCTGTGCCTACCTAGGATGGTATCCATGTTTCAGGGGAAGGTTAGTAGCTGGAAGAAAGAGGGATCAGATCAGGGACTGCAAGAGAGAGACAATAATGAAGACCTTACAAAAAACACAATAAAGTCAGGCTGGGTTTGAGAGCAAAGGTTGTCAAGGGAGGATGGCAACATTTAACCTTTTTTTCTTTACAACCTAGGCTTCTAGAATTGGTTTATTCTGCCCCCAGGGACATGGACAGAGCTTTAAAATATGTTTTAAACAGAGGAAGATTGTTTTCCCTCATTTATCTACCTATTTAGAAAATCTGTTCGATAAACATGGGAAAATTGGATTATCACATGCAAAAAATTAAACCAGACCATATCTCACATACTATACAAAAATTAATTCAAAATGGATCCAAGACTGGATTTAATACCAAAACCCATATGATACAGTGTAAAGCACGAGCCAACATTCCATAATACAGCCTTCAGTGATATTTTTGGATTTCACCCCAATGACAATGGCAATAAAAGCGAAAACAACTTGAACTATATCAAACTAAAAAGTAAATGAAACTATCACTAAGGTGAAAAGATGCCCTACTGAATGGGCAAAAAATTTCATACATTATACACCGAACAAAGTGCTAATATCCAAAGTCTGCAAAGAATTCATACAAGTCAAGAAAAAGAAAACAACCCAGTCAAAAAGTGGGCAGAAGAGCTAAGTAGACACTTGTTGAAAGAAGACATACAGATACCCAACAAACACATGCTCAGCACCGATATTGCCAGGAGAATGAAAACTAGGATGACAATAAGACTGTGTAGATCCACATCTGTGAAATGTCCCATATCAAGAAGACCAAAAATGTTAGCAAGGGTGTGGAGAAAACGAAATCTTTTGTTGGTGTGAATGTAGATTGGTCCAACCCTATGAAAAACACCATGGAATTTTCTCAAAATTTTAAAAATGGAACTACCACATGATTCAGTGATCCATCTTCTAGATACCTATCTGGATAATATAAAAACACTAATTCAAATGGAACATACATACATACATATATATGTATATGTATATATGCATGTCTCTATATATATGTATCTCCCTTTGGATTAGTGTTTGTGTGTATTTTTTTTATTATAATACTATTTGCAATAGTCAAGCTATGGAAGCAAGCTTAGTACTCAAGAAAAGATGAGTGAATGAAGAAACTGGAATATAAACACAACGGAATGCTACTCAACTATGAAAAGAGGTGTAACCTGCCACTTCACTTGTAACAATATGGATGGAACTGGAGGTGATTATGCTAAGGGAAATAAGTTAGGAGGAGAAGATAAATACCAACTGTTTTATTCACACAGGAAATATAAAACCCAAAGCAAAGGACCATACAAAACAAACACTTCAAATATGACTGTGGAACTGAGGTCATCAGAAAGGGAGGAAGGAGGTAGAAGCAAAGGTGGAGGCTTTAATTGACTAAGGAGAATGATGGTGCTTTGGTGGTGGGCACGGTATGGTAACATACATCTCAAAAGGCATAAGCCTAGACCCATAAGACATAGTTTTAAACCAATGTTACTTTAGTTAACAATTTAAAAAGTAATTGTATATACTTTAACATTTTTAAACATAAAGAAGGATAGCGATGAATAAAACAGATTTTCCCATTGTGAATGATGGGAGATTTCAGAGGGTTGATTCTACATAATCAGAGTCACAGGCACTGTATTGGTGCTTTGGGGAGAGAAACAGTTTACTGTATCATGCAGGTGTTCAAAAGTCTCAAGGGTGTTTGTTAAAACTAATTTTGTCAAACTAAACTCCATCCACATAGAAGAGAGAGGGAATCTAATTTCCATGATTTCTGGGCCTTCCCTTGTCTCTAGGATCTCATAATCTGGAAACTTTCTGTGACCACAGGGTAGAAGAACTAAGCCTCCCCTCTGCTGTCCATTCTGGTCACTTGGATCCCCTGACTTACTGCTTTGCTTCTGTCCTGTGCATAGCAACAGACTTAACTCTCTTCTTCCCATTTCTCCTAGTGTATCTTTGAACTAGAATCCACCAACTGCCACAAATAGCACTTATTATTGCTGTGAGCAGAAAGCTTCCTAAAGCACTCTATTGTTCATATGAACCACTTTTCCCTGAAGTTCTCATTTAAGAAGCAGTTGGTAAACAATAATTTTCCCTTTCCCTTTCTCAGACTGGGGAACATAAAAAGGAAATTAAATACTTGTTCCTCCTCAGATATAACTAAATCATATATGATGTTTGTCTGTTTTTTCCTTAATAGAGACAGAACAGACTTGAAAAGGCTATGTAATCCACCAGAGAATTTAAAATTTCTTTCTGCCTGCACAATAATCTTTTCATTTAGTACCCTTTCATCACTCTACCATTATGTTTGAAGGCATAATATAATTAAAAATAAAAAGTGCATTGCCCATATCAGATTCAGTGGCAGTTCTGCTGTAAAGGTGTAAGGGTGAACATTAGCTAAGGAGGATGGCTGCTATAATCTCATCAGCAATTTAAAACTTCAATGTCCTTCAGTGCTTTATGTCAAAGTCCTGTAGTTTTAAGAAAGATTGATGAAATGAGATCCCAGGATGTTCATTCCCTCATTTAACCACTGACATTTTAACAAACTTATTTTAAAAAATGGCAATACCTGCTCTTGACTCCACTTCTTCCAGTTACTATCTTCTTTCTCTTCACAGTAAACTTTTTCAAGAGTTTGATGTACTCACTGCCTCTCCATCCACTCACTTCTAATATATCTTTCACATCTATGTATCAAAATGCTGCTAATGCTTGATTTTGCCCACTCTGCCCTTTCTTAAAGTACGTTTTCTTTCTTCCATATCTCCTGGTTTTACCCCTACCTCCAAGGTCTATTTTGTTTACATTCCCAATTACACATGTTAAAACTTCTCAAAGCTTAAGTCTCAGGCCACCAATTTTTCTCATTTTCTAATCTTCACTGAGGTGATCTCATCCCTATGTATGCCAACAGCTCCCAGATGTTCATTTCCTTCCCAGGCTTCCTGTCTGAGCTCTAGATCTGGGTATACAGATCTATGCTTGCCATTCCCATTTGGAAGTTTCCTCAAATTCAGCATATCCCCCTGTTGGTCATGATCTTTGTTCAGACTGGTGCTTGATATCTCAGTATGGCTCTACTCAGCTTCATAAGCCTGAGACTTAAGGGACTGATCTTGAAACTCTTCTCAGATCTTCCTCCCATAGTATCCAGTACAATGCCAATATTTCTCAGATCCAGCCACATCTCTGCTTTTGTACTTTTTTTTCAAAGTTGTTAGTTCAACAAAGGTAATTATATTAGTCTTACCATTTTATCCTCAAAACCTAGGGTAGTACCTGGCATGTAGTAGGTACTCAGAAGGTTGTTAAATGAATGAATAAATGAAGCTCATAATAAGTTACCCAAGATCAGGATGGCAAGACTGAGACCATAGCCATATATTCTCATTTCCTGCTGCTGTGTGTTGCCCTGGTGCTCCTTGGGCTGTGCATGGAGACTCACTGAGAATCAGAGAGATGTGGAAACCACTCCACAGCCCCAGAAACCGAGATTTGGTAAGATGTGCACTGCTGCAGGGGAAACTGGCACCATTCTGGATTGACTGACACACACTGAAACGCACACTGACACACACATTGCATTTTGCTGTAACATAGTGAGATATCACCAAGGCTGAGGCTTTTCTCCATCAGAACCTAATGAGGGTTTTGCTAGTAACAATAGGACACCTAGTAACTGGTGTCCTATTGTTCCTGTGGCCAAATGACATTTGTTTCGGTAAGAAGAATTAAATCTATCTTTAGAAATGAGTTTATACTCACAATGTATATAACACTTGCAAATGTTCTTATCTACACTTTCACTCTATATCCTTTATAATACATGTAGAAACTCAATAAGTGTGTTTTATGGAGCTTAGATTACACTCATAATGAAACAGATTCCCAACCAAACAACATTTGCAAAATACACTTGGAAAAACTGAAAGTGGACCTGCATTCTTATTAATGTATTAGGCAATATTTTCAACATCAAGTTCCCTAGGAAATAGAGTTCAAAATATAAGTAAAAGTTCTCTTAAATATATGCCAACAGGATATATGAAAACATGTTCTGACAAAACATAGTTTTCCTGAAGAAAATGATATAAAATATAACAATGTAGGATTAAGACAATCTGGTAACATTTTGCATAGCTTCTATGTATTCATTTCTTAGAGGAAAGCTGAAAATAAAACATGTCTGAAGGGAAGACTTTGCAGAAAATGATGGCTGAGAGCTCACTGTCAGAGGGGAGACCCAAGCTCAGATCATATGGAGTTTGATTAAACCCTGACTCTGGTTCTCAGGGATGGTTTTCAATGCACTCTTGGACAGTGCTGTGCAATAATTGATGTTCTGCTTTTAATTTCCACCAACAATGGTGAATTACCTTCAGCAAGGCAGAGTACAGGAGGGGAAGGGAAAGGGAATCGGAGCTTGTACATTTATGTCTGGATTTTCTACCTCCTGCATTCTACATTAGCCTTTAGGTCTGTTCAAGGGGGAAATACTCATTGCTGATTATTTTGATGTTTATATATGTCATTGAACATTTTTTTTCTCTTTTCAGTTTTTCCAAAATCTTCAGGCCTATTTTAAGGGAAGAGGTCTTGATCTTGGCAGGTTTCCAAGTACATTCTCCATAAACTAGAATCTCAGACCTCTGTCTTTCAAGTCAGAACTTATTGCTTTTGCATTTGCAGATTGTGAAGAACAGAAAAATTCCTTTCCCAATTACCTCAACGTCTAAATGTTCCTTCTTCACACAGGTAAAAGAATGTTCTCTTTATTCCCAGGATTCATTAAGACATATAACTTACTCATAAAGAGATTTGAAAGAATTTATTTTAAAACGATTTTATTTTTTATGGACGTAAGTCCTCCATTAAGATGGTGTTCATCAATAATAAAACTTGGGTGTGGTTCCATTATTTTATTTTCTGGTTGTAAAAGAAAATGGCATTTTTTTAAAAAATCATGTTTTACAATGAACATAGTATTATCACTTTTAATAGTATTCAATATAGGAAACACAAATTACAGATAGATACCTTTTCAAATAGGTCAAATAACTTATGTAGAAAATCATATGTAAAGAAACATATCAACATGTGCATTTGGATTAAGTGAAGAGTAAAATGTAAAAGAACTATTCTTTTTGGGATAAAGTATTAAGCATATATTTGAGTTTGAACTTCTTTACCTAGAGAAAAAAGTAGAATATTAATAAAAATGGCATTTTTCTCACAGAATGAAAGTTAGAAATTTATGTTAAGGTTTGAATGTTGTTGTTATTCATCATTCCTATCAAAAATGTCTGCTATTTAGAATAATGCATTCCAAGAAAAAGCATTATTAATATTGTCTAACAGATTTTTGTTCACCTGAATTGTAAAAGGAACTGGAATCATCAATAAATCTCCTTTTCTTCAACAAGCACAGGAATGGAATTGGGAGGAAGCAGAGCATCATTGTACTTCATTGTATTGTGAAAAGATTTTGATTATTTTTTTACATGTGATAAAGTTTTAAAAATGATTATTATTACAAGCAAGCTGAAATTTATCATCTGGCTCTTGCACTTGAAAACTGTCCCACAATGAGAAAATAAAATAGAATTTTAAAAAATGTTAATGAGGCCCTCCCTGGTGGCACAGCGGGTTAAAGCACAGCACTAAGAAGCTAAAGCTACTTCCACATGAGTTCTATTCCCACCTGCCCTGGAGGTGACCACATGGCGCAGCAGACCTCTCCTGACCCACCTGCTGCTCCCCTCAGCGGTGTACTTCGTAGATCTGCCTGTTCTGTTCCCCACTCTGTCTCTGGTGAAGCCTCTCACCGCCCCTGAGCCTCTGGCCTGTCCCCCAGTTCTGTATGCACAAATAAATAAATCTTAAAAAAAAATTAAAAAATGTTAATGAGTTTCTTTACCTGTTTTACATTTAAATCCTAGGCTATCAGAAATTAAAATAAGAAATAGTACTATAGTACCTAGTTTGGTATGAAACGGGATCACGTCCGAGTTGTTTGCAAGCTTTAGTTTCATCTGTGAAATGCCGGTACTGATCGCTAACTCATTGATACACGAGAAATATCACTGAATATGTAGTTTTGTGTGAACATAGAATGAGATAATGGTTAAGAGGAGAAAGTACTCATTTGATGTTATTGTAATATAATGGTAATTATTCAATTTATGAAAGAAATGAAACTTCTGATTTGGAGTATATTTCATAATTACAAGCGCTCCTGTCCAGATATCTCTGATTAGAAAATGAAGACACAAAGACTTTGGTTGAAATATGTTGATCTATGGGTCTTTATGTCACTTGTATTGTCTTTATTTTCTGTTTAATTATAATACTTGCTTGTTCTTTCAGGTATCTGACTATTTTAAAGAAACATGAAGCTTTTCATTAGAAAAATTCAATCATGGTCATGACCTTTGTCAATATGCAATAGAGATTTCAGTTTAAATCAAACAAGATGTTACTAGAAATACTTCACAGTCTTAGTTTCATAAGAAAGGAGAGTAAGTGATAAATATCCATAATGAAGTGGAAAGCAAAGAAACATGGCAGCCTAGAAGTCACTAGGGTTTCTGGGAGATAATCTTTGCTACTAGTCAACTGTGTTGTACCACGTAGCCTGCCCACAACCCCCTCAAGAAAGGGGGGTAGAGACAAGTGTATTGCCCCCCTTTTGTAAATAACCCTTCTGCCTACCCCCAACTTTAGCTCTGGCTGAAATATTCTGATTCTCATATTCTTATTTGGAATAGCTACTTTTCCTGTGTCTTTCTTGAGAGCTGCATCATTTTCCTGTGATTCATGCCAAAAGAACTTTGCAGTAGAAAGCAAACATTGGTGCCCTAATCTGTACATTCTAAACTAGTATTTTGTGGGTTATTTACACTGAATATAAAAAATAAAATACACAGTGATAGATTCTGGTTTAACCTGTTCCTTGTAACTAGTTCTATGTGTGTGTGTTTTCCCTGGAGGGCTGTTAGGTCATTGTGAGCAGAGATAATATCTATGTCATTTTTGTTTCTCCAGCATCTAGCATATGCCTATCAAGTGTTCAGTAATGACTTGTTGAGTTCAAGTGAATGTGTCCTATAGCAATGAAAGCTATTTCTAATGTCAAGACTTTTTTTTAACATTAAATTATTGATAAGCTATTCCTCAAATATCTATATATCTCTATACCTGTATCTATATATCTATATCTATCTGTCTGTCTATCTATCTATCTATCTATCTATCTATCTATCTATCTATCTATCTATCTATCTAGCCTATTCTGAGAAGTGTTAAAGTGTGGGAGTGTTTTACTCAAGTGCCAATAAACACTTTTCCCTTTCAACACCCCTGCTCTGAGTGTGAACACTTCTACAAAGGGAATAGTTTTAATTCCAAGCAATTCAATTTATCATTAGGTTACAGAGGGGGACACAGATTCTTCAGGTAGTGCTTTTCTCAAAATGGTTATAGCTGGTGTAGGATAGGCAGAGAACCCTAATCCAAGGTAAAGAATAAACCAGGGTGTGGTTGAAAGTGAAAAACAGTTCCACCAAGCTAAAGTGTAACATTATTTCAATCATAGGATTTGAATTCAGAAAGAACAGGTTTCAAATCCTGACTCTATAACACTAGTCCCCCTGAGCTATACTTTTTCATTTGCAAGTTTCAGATAACAACAGTGAATGGGTGACCAAAAATATGTGCAATAAGATATTTTGAAAGACTACATTAACACAGAGTTGTAGTATATTGCTATAATTGCTCTGTTTTGTTGTTTGTTACAGTTAGCCTCTTACTGTCTCTAACTTATAAACTTGACCACAGGGAAAGAAGACACAGTGTGTATAGACCGTTTTGTACTATCTATCCTTTCAGGCATCTAATGGTGCTGTTAGAAGCTGTGCTCTGCAGCTGGTGTCTATTATATTTACTAGATAGTGGTATTTGTAATACAACATCCACTTTTGACTCAATATCTACAAAGACTATTGAGAAATGGACGTAATACACATAATACATAGCAATAGTACATTGGAACAATGTTAATCATATCAACTATTTGATTCTAAATGTGTTAAGAAAGGAATACAGGTGAGAATTAGAGGTGGATCATGAAGTATGGATAAACTTACCTACAGACTCAGAAGGAGGCCAAGAAAAGTGAGTGAGAAGTTGTGCAAGAAGGGGGAATTGATGTTGCCATTAATTAGAGGGAATGAGATTCAGTGCTAAATTAGGCGAGGACTCGAGCTTCCTGTAATAGGGAAGAAGTGGAAATAAAACATGCATGCAGCAGACCCAGTGGTTAAATTAAAAAAAAACAAACAAAACCCGCCTAAAGAACAAATTAACGTTCTAGGGGGTAAAAAAAAGATTCAGAAAAGGAAACTGATTGGAGTAAATCACCTAATTAACAACAAATTCTTCAAAGCACCACTTTTTTAAGTCCTTAATAATGAAAAGGTCTGAGTCGGTAGCAGAAACCCTCCCCCCCCCGCCCCCCCGGCTCCCCCCCTCCCCCATTTGCTGGGTCCCTCCCGCGCCAGGAGTGAAGGAGGCAGAGGGGCGGGGGTGTGGGTCTCCTGGAGGTTGTGTGGGAGAAGGCCGGGCCAAGCGCGCCCGCGGAACACAACTGTGGCAGCTGCGGTGCAGGCCGAGCCGGTTTCCCGGGGACGCTAGGTAGCGTCTTAGAGGAACTGCATTTCCGCTTCTGTTTTCCGCTTCTTCAGGTTGAAAGCTCTGAAGGTGCAGTCATGTCGGGTTTCAGCCCCGAGCTCATCGACTACCTGGAAGGGAGGATCTCCTTTGAGGAGTTCGAAAGGAGGAGAGAAGAAAGAAAGGCACACGAGAAAAAAGTGAGGAGATGCTAGAACAGGATGCCCCTTCTTGTGTTTTCCTAATGCATTTAGACGGGTGGAGGGGACCCAAACGATCCCTTTTCGTTGTTTTGGGGCGGGTCGGAACTCGCAGTAATTCTCTCCCATTCTTACCAAAACCCCGGTTCTCATCCATTTTCCCAGTGCTTAGCTGCTTTTGAAAAAGTTCCTCCGACCAAAAAGCATTTGCATCGGTGGTAACCTCGTTTTCTTTTGCCAATCAGTGAAATTTTAGTTAAGGATAGTTTTAAGGCTGGTTGGTTAAATTAGTAGTGGGGAGTAGAGTATCCAGTAGCTATTCCGAGCTTTTCCATAAAGTCCTTTTGTGACCTTGCGTGGGCAACTCACAGTTTGTCTCTTTCTTTCTTTCCTTTTTTTTTTTTTTTAAGGTTTATTTATTTATGCATACAGAACTGGGGAACTGGGGTACAGGCCAGAGGTGCAGGTGCGGTGAGAGGCTTTACCAGAGACAGAGTGGGGAGCAGAAAAGGCAGATAAAGTACACTGCTGAGGGGAGCAGCGGGCTGGTCAGGGGAGGTCTGCCTTCCCGGGGCAGGCAAGGATCGAACTCATGCTGAGGTGGCTTTAGTTTCTTAGTGATGTGCTTTAACCGCTTTGCCACCAGGGAGGGCCCAGTTTGTCTATTTCTAAATAGAGATCTGAGCTTCGGTTTTTTGAGAAGTCTCCCCAGTGGTGTGTTACAATTTAATTGTTTGGTAACAAGATTTTCACTCAGACATATTTTTTTAAACTTTTGAAGAAAATATAACATATCCTCTTATTTGAAGTGAGTGGGAAGGTAAAAATAATGCCACCTTTTCAAATAAGCTAGATTATTTCCTAATTCATGTGACTAATAGTACCCAGTCTTTTTTCATTGAAAAACTTCGGATACAATGTGTAGATTAATGGGGTCATCAAGTTTTGTTTATAATGACATTTAAAATGACTGTTTGAAAGATGTCGAGACCTAAGACCACCCGAAATGCTCTGACAATTATCAAATTTAGATTCCACCTACTGTATATGTTTGCAGAGCTCAAGTTTTATAGAAATAAAAAATGATGCAAATGCTCCATTCCCAACTGGAGAGTGCTATGTCTGCTTTAGTTTTAGGAATCATTAATTCGTATTCAATCACAGAGTCTTCAAGAAAAAGGAAAGTTGGCAGCTGAAGAAAATCCAAATGACTCTGAAGTTCCATCATCATCAGGAATTGACTCTACCAAATCCCAGGATAAAGATGGCAATGAAGGTATGTTAGGATCATTTGTAACCTGTGTTCGATATTAAGGATATCCAGATAATTGAATGAAATAATTACTATTTTCATTGCAGTGGCATTATTTATTAGCTGGATTATGAGGAGCAGGACCCTTGGTACATCATATTCAATATACTTCTTGAATTAATGAATGTGAGGATAGTTTTGAGGAGATTTATGCGGGAACATTTCAAATTAATGATACTGTTTGGTAGCCTTTTTAGTGTTATTTTTTAAAAACTGAATTCTCAGTTGTTTACTACTTCCAGACTATACTTCCTCAGCTTGTAGAAATTACTCTTCTACTTTGTAAAGTAGCTTCCAAACCACTCCTTTAGTTTTAAAGGATAAGATAGAAATGTCAGAGTGGAAGGCCAGTTGGCTACCTAGAGGGGACTGCACACACATCTTTTTTTTTTTTTAAAGATTTATTTATTTATGCTTACAGAACTGGGGTACAGGCCAGATGTGCAGGGACAGTGAGAAGATTTACCAGAGACAGAGTGGGGAGCAGAAAGGCAGACTGATGAAGTACACTGCTGAGGGGAGCAGTAGGCGGGTCAGGAGAGGTCTGCTGTGCCATGTGGGTCACCTCCAGGATGGGGATTGAACTCATGCTAGAGTGACTTTAGCTTCTTAGTACTGTGCTTTAACCCGCTGCACCATGAAGGAGGGCCCACATCTTATTTTTTTAAGACTTCTTTATTTATACAAAACTGAGGTACAGGCCAGAGATGCAGGGGCTGAGAGGATTCACCAGAGTAAGAGTGGGGAGCAGAACAGGCAGACTGACGAAGTACACTGATGAGAGGAGCAGTTGTAGAGACAAGAGAGGTCTGTTGCTCCATGTGGATCACCAGCCAGCTGCTGCCACCTCCTGAGTGCTGCGCTTTAACCCCTTGCGCCACCAGGCGCAAGTGTATAGGGAAACTTGCTCATTCCAGGATCTAGTCCTTATCTCTACATGTCCTGATACTAAATGTAGTTAGTGCATTGGTGGATAAATGTACCAGACCCTAATTGATGCATTCATTTGCAAATATTTTAATTTCTGGTAATTGTATACCTTTTCATGATCTGAATACTGGTAATTGTTCATGGTATCCACTACTGCTGTCATGTTACCTGGGGTGTTGCATTGTTAAATAGAATGTAATTTAGTGTATAAAATTTGATTGATGATTAAATTAAATTTGTTCTTAGGGGTATTAATAGAGGTGGGTTTTTTCCTTTTTGAAGTTAATAATCCTTTGCACATAGAACACATATTTATAGGGTAAACAGAAAATAAACAGACTTTATTACTACTTCCTTGGGCCAAGTGGGAAAGAAAGGGTAAAGAGGAGGAAAAAAATGGGTTACAGTTTCTCACTTTGCCAGCCAGTTATGGTAGGAAAGGGGGCAGGAGTTCTAATAACCTGTGGGTTCTTCCTTACCTGTTTAGATGAGGAGGATCTCTTCATCATAAGGTCTTTGAGATGCAGCTGTAGTAGCCAGCATCGCTTACTTGCCAATACTGTTGCTTAACCTGACCCTAAAAGGTAGACAACAGGCCCTTCCTAAAAAAATCAGTGTGGGGTTAACTGAATTCAATTGTAGTTCAATATGTACTAGAGTAAATGACTTTGAGACAGATTTCTTCTTTGTTTTGTTTTTGGGAGTTTTCATTTGTCTGTCTTTTACATAGAAGGCTGATGTTGCTGGGTAGATATTTATATTCCAGAAAATATATCTTTTTCTTTTCATTATGTGAATGTTTTAAAACGTCTTTATTTTTTCAATCATGATGTCTTTCCTTAGGAGAAACTTCAGATGGAGTCAGTAAGTCAGTTCACAAGGTCTTTGCTTCCATGCTTGGGGAGAATGAAGAAGATGAGGAAGAAGAGGAAGAAGAGGAGGAGGAGGAGGAAGAAACACCGGAACAACCCACTGCAGGCGATGTGTTTGTATTAGAGATGGTTCTCAATCGTGAAACCAAGAAAATGATGAAAGTAAATTATTTCTTATTTTGGTATTCATTGACAGGTGTAAGAAAATGACTTTATAACTGAAAAAAGACATATTTAATTATACTCAGAAAAGAATTCAAGAGATATGAAAGGAAATAAGACAAAATTATTGTAACTAATTTCTTAGCTTTCATTTTAGAGAATAACTGTAAACTTTATTTTTTTTAAGATTTATTTTTTTTAAGATCTTTAAAGATTTACTGGGGTATAGGCCAGAGATGTAGAGGCGGTGAGAGGATTCACCAGAGACAGAGTGGGAACAGAGCAGAACAGGCAGACCAGGCAGATCAATAGAGTACACTGCTGAGGGGCACAGTGGGTGGGTCAGGAGAGGTCTGCAGCACCATGTGGGTCACATCCCGGGCCAGGGGTCAAACTTGCACTGAAGCAGCTGTGGCTGGCTTGCAGTGCTGAGTCCAAACCCATTGCGCCACTAGGAAGGACACAACTGTAAACTTTAATCATTATGTGCATCAAAATGATGCACGTAACAGTAAAACTACGTTTTACGTTTTACTGTTAATAGTTTCCATTTTATAACTTCACATTTTAAATTAAATGCATCCTGGGTCTTCAGCAGGTTATATCATAAGCCTCCTGGCATAGAAATCCATTTGACGACATTCAGTTCTTCATTTGTTGTTATTTGTATTAGTAATTTAGTAATGTCTTAACCACTTTGAATATTGCTTTGCTTATACATTTTACTGTTTTAGCATGCTTCAAACTTTCTACTGTAGGAAGTTTGTTTTCACCCTGAGCATCTCAGGGTGCTCTGTTTTGCAGAATATCAAAAAATAATTTCTTTCTCTCTTGCAATTGAATATTAGACTTTCTTGAAATATAGACTGGGGCCCTGGTGGCACAATGAGTTTAAAACCATAGCACTAGGAAGCTAGCAGCAGCCACTTAAGCACAAGTTTGATTCCTGGCGAGGGAGTAGCCCGCATGTGTAGCAGACCTTACCTGTCTCACCTCTGCTCCCCTCAGCAGTGTACTTCATCAGTTTGCCTGTTCTGGTCCTCACTCTGTCTCTGGTGAATCCTCTCATGGCCCCTGCATCTCTGGCCTGTACCTCAGTTCTGTATGCATAAATTAAAAAAAAAAGAAATATAGACTATAATGTTAATGAGCATTTAGAATTGCAGTCATTAATTCCAGTTCTGAATTTATGAAACTGAAAAGTTTAAAGAAAATTTCAGGTTCATATTGATGAATATAGTAGGAGTTAAAATTTAAGACATTACTGTATTTAAATAAAAAAAAGTATTTTTTGTCTTGTACAGGAGAAAAGGCCTCGAAGTAAACTTCCCAGAGCTCTCAGAGGCCTCATGGGTGAAGCCAACATACGCTTTGCTCGAGGAGAACATGAAGAGGCAATATTGATGTGCATGGAAATCATAAGACAAGGTACTTTCTATGGGATTATTGTTAGTATTTAATAGTCTGACTTTTCAAACAAATGGAGGCTCATTTCACTGTACCTTTTGGGCGTTCAGAGTGATTATGATAATAGTGATGGCTCCTTTTCATATTGAACAGGAGTTGTTACAAGAAAAACACTATAGTATGACTCAATAAAATATTAATATTGAACTCATTTCTTTTGTTTTTAATGTTTTAGAGGTTTTAAACTTTTGTGATGTTAGTTTTTTTTTAAATATGTCAAACACATATTGTTAGTGCCACTTGAAGACTCTTCCATTTTACAAATCAGGTAATGCTAGATTATTTTAATCTACCTCTTGGTGAAAGACACATATATACTATACATCTTTCATTAAACTATAGATCTTGAACAGAATGAAAGATATCTCAAAAGTAACTTTTTAAATAATATAATTGTTTATTTTTACATCATTTTGTGCCTTTTTCCATCTCAGTTGTAATCCCTGTGGGCTTCCCATTACCAAATCACCCATGTGCCATCATCATAGTCCAGTCACTTCCCTCCCCCCACCATTCCAAAAGTAACTTTTTATACTAACGCATTTCCTATTTTGCTTCCTTGATGTCTTGCTGAATGATGATGTCCTGTGTAGTGGGTTGGGTAGTTGGAGTAGTGTAAACTTTTCATTTATCTTTTCAACATTTCTACATTTCCTTTTATTTAGACTAGGGTAATTTTAGAAGTCTGATTGTAAGTTTCCTTGCTTAGTCAGCAGGATAATTTGCATTTACTGCTTTTTATTTTTACCTCATCAGAAATAAGATTAACCAAACTTTTCCCTGTCTTTAGGATATTTTGATTAGTTCCTACATTTTAATATTAGTTTCTAAAAAATTATTTTTGATAGTCACCTTTGATTTTAACCCATCATAATCTTATACCTACATTTTAGAAATGTTATTTCAGAAATGCAGATAACAATTCACTTCAATATCCTGGGTTTAGGTGTTGCTTAAGTGTCCTTTATTCATTCATTCTGTACTCCTGGGTGTGGGAACCAGCTGAGTCATGGAAGAGTCAACCTCACAGTGTGACTAAAACTCACTGAGATTATCTTACTGAGTTATTGAGCATGTTTAGCCTTAGCAAAACGGTCAAAGGGGTCCCTTGATAGAGAATAAGGCGTTTTCATGAAATTCTACTTTGTTTAGAGAAAAGAATGCATTAAGAATGTCAAAAAATGGGCCCTCCCTGGTGGTACCATTAAGCTTGCCGTAGCACTTCAGTGTGAGTTTGATCCCCGGCTAGGGAGGTGATCCTCATGGTGCAGCAGACCTCTCCTGACCCACCTGCTGCTCCTCAGCAGTGTACTTCATCTATCCACCTATTCCACTCCCCACTCTGTCTCTGGTGAATCCTCTCACTCTCCCTGAACTTCTGGCCTGTACCCCAGTTCTGTTTACATAAATAAATAAATATTTTTTAAAAAGTCAAAAAATATGTGAAACCAAAGTAAAGCTAATTTAAATTTAGTATTTCTTCTAAGTTCAATTAAGCAGTTTATATAATTCCATTAGAGTTTTTATTTAAGATTTATTTTATTTATGCATACAGAACTGGGGTACATGCCAAAGGTGCAGGGGTGGTGAGAGGATTCACCAAAGACAGAGTGGGGAGCAGAACAGGCCAACTGATGAAGTACACTGCTGAGGGGAGCAGTGGGCAGGTCTGGAGAGGTTTTGCTGCGCCATGTGGGTCACCTCCAGGTGGGGATTGAGCTCATGCTGAAGTGGCTTTAGCTTCTTAGTGCTGTGCTTTAACTCGTGCACCACCAGGGAGGGCCCCCACTAGAGTTATTTAAAGAGTTTTAAGTTTGAACCATGGAATTGACATCAGCTCAAGCCTCTTCTCTCAGTCAGTGAAATTTGTTTTTTAATTTGTTTTAGCTCCACTGGCTAATGAGCCATTCTCTACTCTTGCTGTGATCTATGAGGACCAAGGTGACATGGAGAAATCACTGCAGTTTGATTTGATTAGTGCACATTTAAATCCCAGTGATACTGATAAATGGGTTAGACTGGCAGAAACATCTCTGGAACAAGACAATATTAAGCAGGCTATTTTTTGCTACACAAAAGGTAATTATTTTTCTCATTTTGTTTGATAAAATCTTACACAATATTTTATGCATGTGCATTACATGTGCATTAAATTTTTTTAAAAGAAGATGTGTCACTACCTGAGACCCTTTTGGTGATAATATCTTTGTTTTATATTCCTTTTTTTCTTTTTAGCTCTTAAATATGAACCCACTAATGTCCGTTATTTGTGGGTGCGATCAAGCCTTTATGAACAGATGGGAGATCATAAAATGGCAATGGATGGTTATAGGCGTATTTTGAACCTTTTGTCACCATCTGATGAACGTTTTATGCAGTTGGCTAGAGATATGGCAAAGTAAGTTTGGTGTAAAGTTTGTACAGATACTCCTATAAAAGCATATGTATCTGGAGTAGAATATACCTTTTTGTTGTGGTTCAAGGATTTTTTCCATGTTTCTATATTATGTTTAGATACAGAGATACTTTTTCATTAACTCTCTGTTTCCAATTCAACTTTGTGATTGCTTAGAAAATTTATATATATGATTAATTTTAAATGCTCTGAAGGTTAAAAATAGGGCATTTCTGAAAGGATGATTAAATTTTCCAATTTCTATAATTTAAAGTTATATATATTTGCAGTAATAGTATTTTAATTTTATTTATTGCATATTTGTGATCTGGAATCTGCTATAATCATCCTATTTTGAGCCAGTAGTAGGATAATATTTTAAGACAAAAATTCTTAATAGCTGCCACATACTAAATCATGCCCTTCTGCAATATCTTATGTGACCTGTACAGTAAAACAAAACAGGGAACATTTTGGCTGAGGAATTTCTCCATCTGTTCTTTATTCTAAGGTTATTTACTATGTAGTTTTTAACCTAAGAATAACATTCTTTTATTTAAAAAAAAATATTTTGTTTATTATTGTGTAGATGAACGGGAGTATAGCCAGAGATGCAGGGGATGAGAAGATTCACCAGAGATTTAATAGAGTACTCTACTGAGGGGAGCAGCAAGTGAGATAGGCCAGGGTTGTGTGCCATTTGTGGGTCACCTCCCTCGCAGAAGATTGAACTCAGGCCATCGAAGTGGGCTGTCGTGGTGATAGCGCTGAGATTTAACACCCTAGGCCACCGGGGAGGCCCAGACTAACATTCTTGACCTAGGTGTCTTAGTGTTAACTCTATTAATTCCATGTTCATTATCATAAATATGCTCAGTTATGAAATCACCCTCTGCTCTCCTAAGAATGGATTTTATAGGAATAGTCGAAGGAGTTTTAGAAAATTTGTTGATGCATGGAACCCCTAAGTTGGTCCTTGATACAAGTGATGAATATTGAGGATCTCCCAAGTTATAGTCTGTTAGGCAGATCTCTATTTGTCATAGTGATTCTACTTTGCAAACTGTAAGATGGGCTCTAAGAGTAAATTTGTTGCCATTTGTATTAACAGTAATATTTTCTGTTACTGTAACTTTGATTACACTTTCTCCCAGTCCCTACTTTCCCTCCAGAAGTACTAGTTGAATATAAATTATGTACTAGGCATTGTTAAAAGCACCATGGTATACGGTATTATTGAGTGATTCTAAAATATGCTGCGTTTGTGGCTCTGTATGTTCTAGTTGGAGACAAATAACAAATAAATAAACAACTAAATACACAGTGCATCAGATGTTGATAGGATATGAAAACAAATGAAGCAGGGAAGGGGAGATAGAAGGTTGAGGTACAGGGGTATGTTATTCAAAACAGGGTGATTAAAAAAGGACTTAATTCTCTGTTGTGTTAATACTGACCAAAAAGTGAGCTGAAGGAAGTATGGGAGCAGGTATTAGGGAGGAATTATTACAGGCAAGGAAATGGAAGTACAAAGGTTTGGCTAGGAAACAGCATGGCAACTGAGGGTTTAATGAATGCATCCGGGGTCAGAGGGCATAAAGTCAGAGAAATACCAGGGAAAGTTTACATAGTCCTTGTGGATCATTGTAAGAGCTTTGACTTTTATTCTAAATGAATTTGAAAGTCATTGGAGCATTGTGAGTAACAGTGGAAGAGTGGTATGATACAGCTTAAATTGTAAATGCCTCAGTCTGGCCGCTCTTTTGAGAACTGATAAGTGGTGAGGGCAGACAGAGGAAAATCAATTAGGAAATTACTGCAATAATCCATGAAAGGGATAATGATAACTCAAAGCAGGGTAAAAACAGTAGAAGGTGGTGAGAAGTGATGAGATTCTGGCTGTATTTTTGAAAGGCTAAGTTCTCAGGATATCTGATGTTTTAACTAGGTAGGGTGTGTGTGTGTCAGAGAGGGAAAGAGAGAGAGAGATAGAGACAAGGAGAGAGTAGAGAAGTGAGGAATTCTTAGTACTTAATGCCTAGGCACTCTAGAAGTTAGGGAAATGAGAAGGAAATGTGAGGAAAATGAAAGAAAATGAAAATGGACAGGAAGAAATAAGAGGGAACAAATTTTATTGGTGAGAGCACTTCAAGAAGGGATGATCATCTGTATGAAACACTGCAGATAGAGCATGTGAAATGAGGACTGAGATTTGACATTGGATATGGGATAAGAGGGTCTTGGGATATAGGCAACTCTGGAGAAAGTTATACCAGTAACAAAGGAAAGGGGAGGTAATTAGAATGGGTGTAGAGGTAAAAAATGTCTTTCAAGTGGAATTATCCATAATTGAAGGACACTGAATTCATGAAAGAAGGCACAGTCACTTGAGAGAAATACTTGAGTAGATTGGAGGGAATAGGATCTAGTCGGGGATTAAGTTTACTATAAAAGGAGAAGGCAGAACACATGGCTTTGGACATAGATAGTAGGTCATGTATTAGAGGTACAAGGGATAATTGATTTGATTCTTTGTAAAATAAGAAGCAGGGTCATCAATTGAGAATGAGATTGAAGAGTGTTGGAGGTTTGACAAGAGCAGAGGAGATGTAAAGTAGTTGTCTAGGTCCTTGGGAACTTGCTGTTCCTCAGACCAGCATCATTTGTATCACCTGGGAGCCTGTCAGAAATGTAGATTCTCAGCTCTGCCCCAGCTCTAAAGGATCAAATATGCCTTTTTGCAAGATTCCTGGTTAATTTGTATGTACATTCAACTTTGACTGGGTATGTAAATGTAGTTAAGATTGCTGATCAGCACCATGGCCCCTGAGGCTGGCTAGTGGTCATTAATTTAGTGTGAGTCTGGTCAGTGTAGTCAGCTAGGAAGGTAGTGATGAATAGTAGGCACATGGCTCATCCAGGGTGGGGGTTTTATCAGATGATTTTGATAAAGGGTGATAAGGACAGAAGAATTAAGGAAATGTACAAGGGAATGATTATACTGTTGTGCCACAGAGGAGGGAGGTTATGGACCAGAAGGGTACAGAAAACATGAAAAAGTGTTAGCATCAATGCTTTATAAAATTGTTGTATTGGGTTACAGAGAGCATGAACTGGAATGAGGGAGGCAGCTTGTAGAGAATGAAATGCTTGACATATTGTTATGCTGAAACTTCCCACATTCTCCTCTGGGTCACCAATGATTATGATTTTGAGGAAGTTTTTTTGGCTCCAGAATTTTTTTTTTTTTTAAATTTATCCATTTGTGCATACAGAACTGGGGTACAGGCCAGAGGCTCAGGGGTGGCGAGAGGCTTCACCAGAGACAGAGTGGGGAACAGAACAGGCAGATCGACGAAGTACACTGCTGAGGGGAGCAGTGGGCGGGTCAGGAGAGGTCTGCCACGCCATGTGGCCACCTCCGGGGCAGGCGGGAATCGAACTCATGCGGAAGCGGCTTTAGATTCTCAGTGCTGTGCTCTAACCCGCTGCGCCACCAGGGAGGGCCTGGCTCCAGAATTTTAAGAAAATAAAAATCATAGTTAATAGAGAGCTTAGGCAAGGAGATAAGTTTTATAATCTGAATTAAGTAAGTGCTCATTTAATTTTGCCATTTACTTTTTTAGGAGTTACTATGAAGCCAATGATGTTACTTCAGCTATTAACATAATTGAAGAAGCTTTCTCAAAACACCAGGGTTTAGTCTCTATGGAAGATGTTAATATAGCAGCTGAACTGTACATTTCTAACAAACAATATGACAAAGCTTTGGAGGTAGGAACTATTAAGATTTTAAACTCATTTCTCTGTTCCAGAAGTTCTTATAAATTGAGTTTTCACTTTGTTATTTACATATTTAATTATGTACTGAATTTTATATTTAAAATGTGTTTGGAAACATATTTCTAGTTTCCATAGTCATTCCACATGAAATATGAAATATAATTATCATGATAAAAGCTGTAGCCGTTATCACAGGTGCCAGATATGTCTGTACTCCAAGGTAGTAGGATTCAGCAGGCAGATTGATTCAGTGGCTCTGATTCAGTTTTTAAGCTGTTGAAAAATGTAGATGGATTGATAGGAAGGACATAATTCTTTAGTTGAGCATTAATGTGATGTAAGAAGGTTAATATGTTACAGTTTTTGTTTTTTTTAAAAGAAAGATTTATTTATGCATACAGAACTGGGGTACAAGCTGGAGGCTCAGGGACGGTGAGAGGGTTCACCAAAGACAGAGTGGGGAACAGAACAGGCTGACTGACAAGTACACTGCTGAGGGGAGCAGCGGGCTGGTCACGAGAGGTCTGCCGTTCCTGACCTCCAGGCACGTGGGATTGAACTCATGCTGAAATGGCTTTAGCTTCTTAGTGCTATGCTTTAACCCGCTGCACCACCAGCGAGGGCCCATCACAGTGTTATTTTAAAGGAACTTTTTGTTAGTTTTTTTATAGCTGCTCTATGTCTTATAAAGATTATTTAAATTAACTCTGCAACTCTTTGCAGGGTGGAAATGGTGCCATACATACTTTTGTGTTACTTTCTTTTTATCTCTTTCTTTTAGGTAATAACAGATTTTTCTGGGATTGTGCTGGAAAAAAGAACAGAAGAAGCCACTTTGGAAGAGAACAAAGGTTGTACCTTGCATGGGGAAGCATATATAATCCTTATAACGTGAAAATTTGAAATTGACAGTTAATGTTCTCATAGCAAGTTTTCCCTTGAAACATTCTTTCTGCTGAGAGATTTCATCGTTTTCTTGTGTGTATTCATTCACAAGTAATCTTTAAATCATTGTTTTTGGTCCCTTTCATATCTCAATACATGTCCATCTGAACACTGCATTTTCATTTATTCCCAGTCTTTTTAGGCTATGTAAAAAATGAATTATTGAATAAACAGTTCATCAGAAACCTTTAGATTTAAAGTAACTTACTTTTTAAAAAGGACTCAGATGCTCTCCTTGAAAAAATTCTGCTTCAAACTTAAACATTCATATAAAGAATAGTTATTAGTATGACCACCTATTGTTTGAAGATTAAAATATGTAATTTGGAATCTAGTTAGAAAGTTGTACCGAAGTATGACTTGCTCTGTTCCTAATCCCCGGTTTTTCTTTGTACCACAGCCACCAACCTGTCCTTTGAAAATACGCAGTAATCTTTGGAGTAGAATAGATATCCCTGTTCTTACAGTAAAAGTCTTGTGTACCTCCTACCCTTACCCCATACAGCTTTTGATGATGGTGGGGGAGCAGAGGAGGCACTTGGTAACGAGTGCTGTCTACTTCAGAATGGATACCTCTCTAACTTATGATGCCAAAAAATTTCCATCATCAACTTAAATTCCCTTGAGTCTTAACTCTGTTACTCAAAACCAAAAATTCTTTTATTTAAATGATCCTTCATAAAAGAAAGTACTAGTTAATTTATACTATTCAATTAGTGCTAATTAATACAGGCAAGGCCCAAGATGGGATATGGGACAGATCAGATGAATGTTGAAGTAGAAAGTTATGAGGGAATGAAAAGCTCAGATCAGTAAGTTTCTTACCAGACTGTGTACTAAATATGCGTGGAGCATTTAGCTAAGTATGCCATTGCCCGACTTCAGGGAAATGGGGAGGAGTTCAAGTGAAGTGCATACAATTTAATTACAAGAGGGACTGTGAGAATTCCTTTAGTAAAACTGGCATTTGGGGAAATTAGAGGAGGGCAGAATACCAAGGTCAGGGAGGTGGCTAGAGGTGCAGTTGAAGCAGACATCTGTGGGTAAGTATATGGGTAAGTTTATCTCAGGCTGCGGTCACAGGGTGGGAGGGTATTGCTTAGTATGACAGGGTCAGATAGGCAGCTCTGGGTGGTTGGTGATCTTAAATGATCAGGGTGATTAGTGAGTAGAGTAAGGACTGAGAATTGTCATCCCATGAAAACATTGACTAGGCCAGTTGAAGGACTGCCAGTTTTGATACTTTTCTTGAACCTGACTTAGGTTAGAGGCAGAATATCACTTAGCTATCTTGTAGCCAGTATTTCTGCTTAATTATCTTCTAAATATATCCTTTGTTCTGGTAAATATTAAGGAAACGTAGAATATAAGTTTTGGTTTAAGTTTAGTCATTTTGTTTTCAGTATATTTTACTGTGTTTCATTTACCCTTCCTCCCTCCTAACCCTCCCTGCTTCTTGTCCACTTCCTTTCCATTTTACTTTCATAATGATTTAGCATATTTGAAATCAGGAATGTCTTAACGTAAGTCAATGACTTGTTAGAATTTTAAGTAGGGGTGTTTTTCTTTCTTAGTATATAAAATAGTGCTGTATCTGAAATATGTGGCATCTTAGAATTGTTGAAAGGACTTTAAAAAAAAAAATTTCAGAAGACAATGACATTAAAATACTTCCAGAGTAAGCAAAGGTAGTTTTTTTACATGCCTTTTTTTTTTTTTTAACAATAACATTTATTAGTGTACTTAACATTGCTCTTGAGATTCACACTTTATTCTTATAAAAGACCTAAGAGTTCAAGAAAATAAATTGTTAATGACTAAAAATCAAGTTCTTTAAAAAACACTATAAAGGCATTATTTAAGTTTAGGAGCAGTATTGCTTTCTTTAGCATCGTCAAGTTGTCATTTAAGTGTCTGGACACTTACTTAACTCTTAGGTACATTGTCTGCACTTAGCTGATGAATTGGAAGTTGCCATGGGTCTCACTTTACTCTGAGTAATACTGCTCTGTGGCATACAGTACCCTTCTTGCCTTTTTAAATATGGTTGATGTGATTTCTCCTCTGTTTGATAATAAGGTTGTGCCCACTCCTTTCATATTGTGTTTGCCTGATATACCTTTGTTCTTTCATTTCCAAACTTCTAGAATCATATGACTTTATATATGTGTCTGTTTTCGACATAAAGTTGCATCTTTGTGAGTTGGTCTGAAATAAAATTTTTTGTTTATATATCAGTTCACACTGTGTCTTTTAAGATGGTTGCTATATCTACTATCCACAGAAGAAATATGCTGTGGATACAGTCTTGATTCAGGGTGCCTTTTTGTCCTCGTGAGGGTGTGGTCTAGGGTGAGTAATTAACAGAATGAATTTCTAATTTATTAGGATTCTAATTGAACACAATAAATTTATTAACCTGGCTTTCTGATGTCAGTCATTGTCATGGTGCTCAGTGATTAAAAAATAGTATCTTAATTCATCTTGTCCAAGTCTTCCTATAACTAAATAACTCCAGGCAATTCTATAGTTTACATGCCAGATTTCATAAGACATGAAATTTTCCCCCACTCTTTAACATCCCTCTCTGCTTAAGTTTTTCTGAAATTGAAGCATGTAAACTTGGAATTTACAGACTTTAAACTTAGACTTTACAAAATATGAAATAAGTGTGGACAAAACTTCCTTTAAATTTTCTAGGACTTTAAGAATTGCTTTGCTGTTTTAGAAAATAACACACTGCTTTATCCTTTTCTTAGCCTCTTTGTACTGAAGACTAAAAAAAGAAATTCTCTGTAGCTTTGATAGACAGTGTGGGAGTTTATGTAGATTTTGGTTAAATGTGTAAAGTACTAGGAAAAGAATAGAAAGGATAATTGTTACTGAAAGACAGATGGAAGGAAGTATAAGAACCTAGTAATAGGTTTGGCTAAATTTAGAATTGACTGTGGAATTACTTCTTTGAGATACATGATCTCTTACATGGAAGATACAGTTTGCTTTATTTGCCTTACATTCTCTGTTCACAGCTGGTGAAAATGTTACCTGCACTATACCTGATGGTGTGCCAATTGATATCACAGTGAAGTTGATGGTGTGCCTTGTACATCTTAACATCCTGGAACCACTTAATGTAAGTGATGTTAAAATCTGTATTTGAGATACTTCAGATTAAATCCACAATATTTAAATGGGAAAAAATTTAAGTTGACCCTAGATTTCACATTTCTTAATAACTATGAAGTTACTGTAAGCATCAAATTACCTTTATGTGTCTTAAAATGTTCTGAAACTAGATTTGTCATAATTTGTTTCTCTTTTAAAATGAAAGATCAGAATATGAAGTTGGATCTTTTAGGCAGTTGGTGATTATTCTGATATCTATTCTTTTTTGTTAACTTTGGATCCAGTATTTCATTGAATAAATTGGGTTATCTTTAGCATAATATCTTAGCATAAGGGTTAAATAAAATGTACAATTCTCTGCCTTCAAGTATCTTCTAATGGGATTAAATGGATAACAAATAAATAAATATGTAAAAACAGTATTAGTTGGTAGTAAGCACTTGGGAGAAAAATCAGGTGGAAAAATAGAAAATATTGTGGTGGAGGAGGGGCACCTATAATTCAGGTGGGCACAAGACGCCTCACTGAAAAGGTGGCACATGAAGAATGACCCAGAGGAAGGGAAGAGATCAGCTTCGTTTACATTTGAAAGAAGAGCGAGCAGTGCTTGTAAGCTCCTGCAGTGTTTCTAGTAAGGCCTCCAGAATGATGGGTTGAATGCAATATGAATTCTTTTCAATAGAGATACAGCAATGAATAGAAAAGCATTTAAAATAGAGCTGTTGTTTTTAAGCCTTGCTCTTCCTATAGGCATGCCTTACAAAACTATGTTTTACATCTATTATTGAATATATATTAGGTATATATTTTAAAAAGAGAAATGTGCATAGTTGGGCATATTTACAATGAACGTTTGAACTCAGCCTTTTATTTTTTGGGTCTAGCCTCTGTTGACAACACTAGTGGAACAGAATCCTGAAGATATGGGAGACCTCTATCTCGATGTTGCTGAAGCTTTTCTGGATGTTGGCGAATATAATTCTGCACTCCCTCTCCTTAGTGCACTAGTCTGCTCTGAAAGGTACAACCTTGCAGTCGTTTGGCTTCGACATGCAGGTAATACCGCTTTTGTGGATGGGAGTGTCTTATAATTGTGAAATACTAGAGAAAGTATTCCTGGTTATAGAGCAGTACTTTAAATCAGTATTAAAACATTAGTTTTTTAAATCATCTTGGTGCACCATTAGGTACTTTTCCTCGCTAATGCTTTGGAGCTATGATGCATTTAATGGTAACCAGAGTGAAGTAGAAGGCCTAACTAGTCCCTGTTAAATATATTTCTACCTTTCTTAACCATAAGCTTTGGTTATTAATAATAGGTTATCAGACTTGTGAAATCTAATTTCTGAAGAGTTTTTATGGATTTATATTTTATGAATTTTGAGAAAAAGTTAATATATATCCTGTGTTCTTTGAGCTGTAAATATGCTCATGATTCGCCTTTATCATTTTTGTTCCACTATGTCTAAGTCCACAGGATTCTGGAATAAATCATTAGAATAGAAAAAGTAACCAAAAAAATCTATTAAAGAATATAAAAAACTCAGAAAAATTTTAATAGGATTTCCTGTCAAATTAACATTAAAGATGTATTAAAATTTTCATGGCCCTGGTTTAAAATACTGCAGGAAGTTCTAATAGTTCTTATAATACTATATAATAGCAAAAAGTTTCTGAGTAGGACGTATATTAATTGACATTTTGGGATATGAGGGCATATCACAAATATGAAATAGCAAGGAGAACACTTAATGATTAAGACACTTCATTGTTTGGTGAGTGAACACGAATACACAAATGTAATACCGTCATGAAAGTCTATATTACTTGCAGTATTTAAATTTAAAGACACAAGTCTAGAGTTCAAGTTTGTTTTGCATTCTTAAGCTTTTGATATTGAAACTGTTCTTGTTACTAAGAGATACTTTATAAATACAGTCAATTTCTGATCATAATGCTGGTTTATGATGTATCTGTTTTGAGCCTGTGTAGTTTGAAATAAGTTGAAGATAAAACTTGTGAGTCATCTAAGTGGACTTAAAAAATTTGGGAATCTTTACACAAGGAAGATAAGTAAAGGATGTTAATGCTAGTAGCGCAATAATAAAGATGAAAAAAACATTCGGAGGCAAAAGCACCTTCTTTGGAGATGATTGCAATGAAAAGGGAGGTGAAGAGGGCCTAATTAATGTTGTGGCTGTTTGGGGAAAAAGAAAAATTACTTATAAAGATTCATTTTCAAGTTTAAATGATAGAATTTATGATAGGATTGACTGGCACATTTTCGGGGAATAGGGCACAATAATCATACGTAAGACAATTTATGCGGAGGTGATAACTGAGCAAGGGAGTGAGGAGAAATAGTTGATATTGTGGATCTCAAAACTCAAAGAGCCTGTCAGGCAACAAAAATAAGTGGCAGGTGGGGGCCTGGCAACGTGACAACTGGGGAGCCCTGTCTTCAGGTGCTGCTATTTTTCAGCGTGTGCCGTGCGGGAATGGGAGGACGTATTGGTACCAGATCAAGATTTTGAAAAGAACCCAATAACCTGAATTTCATAAAGACCCAACTTTCTGAAAATGTAGGTAATTTGTCTGCCATTTTGTGACACGAAGATGCATATTTGTTAGAATAAAAATTGGAAATAATCTAAATGTCAAGTAATATGATTCAATAAAATTATGTTACTTGAATATTATAGTAATTTAAAATACAAATGAAGAAATAGAATGTTGGAAGTATAATGCTAAGTGGATAAAGCAGAATCCCAATTTTTATGTAGTGCTGATTATATCCTTGCAACAGTTTGAATTTAGATAAATTAATTGATGATCAATAAAAGATTAGAAGGGATAGTTGCTATAGTGTTCTTGAAATACTCATACATTTCTTGTTACTTTTTAAAAATATTACTAGATTTCTTTAAAAATTGAAAAATAATTTTGACCCCTTGCAACTCTGTGGTTAATATTTATACTTTATTTTAACGTCTTAGAGTGTTTAAAGGCCTTAGGTTATATGGAGCGTGCTGCTGAGAGCTATGGCAAAGTAGTCGACCTGGCCCCCCTCCATTTGGATGCAAGGATTTCACTCTCTACTCTTCAGCAGCAGTTGGGTCGTCCGGAGAAAGCTCTGGAAGCTCTGGAACCAATGTATGATCCAGATACTTTAGCACAAGATGCAAATGCTGCACAGCAGGTAAATGTAACATTGAGGGAAGCTTTTCTTGGTTCATATTTTAGAACTTTACTCGTTAAGGATGTCTATAGCTTATATATAAATGTTTTATTTTAGTATATCGAATTCAGTGTTTTGGAAAATTATTTAAATCTCAGGATTCAGCCATTCATTTTAGACATTGCAAATTATGGTTCTAAAATAATACATCTCAATTATTGTGAAAATAATACAGCAAAAATTATTTGGTTTCTAAAACAGTGATTCTAAGCAAATAAAACAACTTATAGCAGAAGAATCTGGTCACATTCACTATCATTTATTTATTTAGGAACTGAAGTTATTGCTTCATCGTTCTACACTGTTGTTTTCACAAGGCAAAATGTACGGTTATGTGGATACCTTACTTACAATGTTAGCCATGCTTTTAAAGGTGGGTAATTGTTTTTCTTTATAGTAGGCTTGTTGACTTTTTAGATGTTCAGAATTTAAATTAAACATAGATTACAGCATATTTACAACTTTTATTAAACTTTTAAAAGTCAGATAAACACAAAAGCTTAGTGATATGTAGATGAAAGTTCTCTATGAAAGTATAAATTTGTAGACTTACGTAATTACTGCTAGTAGATATTTTTAAAAAATGAACTGTAGAATTATCAGTTATTGGCCCTGTGCTATGTGTTGATTATTATTCATTATGCAAAGCTGACATCCTTTCTGAGTGGCTTTTCTTTGAGGGAATGGTTGTGGATGTGTGTCTATGTTATACAGTTAATGTGACTTGCATTCTTTTTCTCTACTAAGTTGAGTTCTATTGCCTAAATTCCTTTGGTAAGAAGAAAAATAAGTCTTTTCATTCTGTTCTTAGGGGTTTGATAGCTACAAAATCTGCTCTTTCTTGTCCTTAGTAAAGAAGCTTTCAGGTATACCTGTGCTACTTGTGACCCATAGGTTTTCTTTAAAAAATTTTATGATAATAAATCTATAAAAAGCTTATGATGCTGAATGACCCAGACATCATTTGGGGGAGGCAGGGTTGTTGGAAAATCCTGCAGGGTGGATGTCTAGGCCTCTTGTTCCAAATCAAAGACAACAAATGCTGTTCAGCACTGAAGGAAATGTTGGCATCAGAATCAAGACCACTGAAGCCAGAGGCCTCCTCACATGCTACTCATCCGCCCCCTCTTCAGAACCCCTATTTGGGACTTATACGAATGATAAGGAAATGCATTCAGTTCTTCATCCTAAAATGTCTTCACATCTTTATTTGCTCCAATTCAGTGAAGCCTGTTCTAATTTTTTTAAGTGATTAAAAATTCTCACATCATCATCTTTAATTCAGGTAGCAATGAATAGAGCTCAGGTCTGTTTGATATCCAGTTCCAAATCTGGAGAAAGGCACCTCTACCTTGTTAAAGTGTCAAGAGACAAAATATCAGACAACAATGACCAAGAAACAGCGAACTGTGATGCAAAAGGTATTTCCTTTCATTTTATTACGGTAGACTCCACTGAGTTGAATGCGTCTTGAAGTAACATTGGCATAATCAAGCTAAAGATGTGCTCTTTCAAGTAAAATGAAATTTCTAATGTAATTCCTTAAGTTTAGTTAAATATATTTGGTGTTAAAAAGATTGGAAGGAAAGGCTACATGTAAATACTTACATTTTAAAAAAGGAAAGCTTCTACTTGGATTTTTCTATAAAAAAATGAAAAACTCAGTTTTTTAAGAAGAAAAGTTGTGAAAATTAGATTATTTGTCCAGTTACTTCAATTACATATACTCCATTCCGTTAAATTTACTTGTGATAGATGTAGCAATAGTCATAGAAGCTTTGAAAATAAGTTTTACCTGTGTGACCCGGTATCAAGTAATACAACTTTGAAGGACCTCTCTTTTTAGTTGGAAATATATCAGGTATTTTGGGGGGAGGTTACTACTCAGTATGCAAGACCTAGTATATAAACTAGAGATAACAGTTTGGCAGAAAGCTATTTCATTGTTAGCTCAATGGACATTTATTAAAGCAATGTAACAGAGGTGGTAGTGTGCAATCAGTAGAGGTTGTAGAATGTGGAAGAGTTGAATCTTTAGGCATGATATAAGAACACAAGGTAAGTGAGAATTAAAGGGAGAAGAAGCAGAGGAAAGGAGGCCTGAGCTGCTCCTCCTGTGGCTGCAAATGCTTCGAGCCTTGACATCTGTCCAGCTCATCAGTTCTGGGCTCATCACAAGGTCTTCTGCCCCTGCAGCGCGCTGTAGACTTATGTTTCCTTGAGATTATTTTTCTATATCTGATTCTGTCTGTTTTCTCTTTCAGTATTTCTTCATTCAGGGCCATTACTGCTTTTTCTTAGACCCAAGGTTTTTATTATTTTGTTCCCTAGTGATGGGACTCACCCCAGGAGAGGATGAGCAGGGCCCCTTTGTGTTACAAGCCTCCTTGTGCCCTGAATTCTCTCACTTTAGATTTTTTCATGTGACTGTATTCTCTTCACAGCTATTATATTTAATGGCTAGAATATTCTGTTAGTAGCTCCATAATTTAATTATTGCCTTACTTTTTGATATATGGTTCTTCCAATACTTTTATAAATAATATTGTAGTGAGCATCTTCATGCCAATAGATTTGTACACATCTTTGACTAGTTGTTTAGGATAGATCGCCAAGAAGAAGTAGTAGGTTAAAAACTGTAAAAAAAAAGATAGCTTTTGATGACTTGTCAAAGGTTATATATATAAAAGGGAGGCTTTTATAGATAAATAAGGAAGATTATTGACAGAAAAGATGAATTTTTGAGGTAAAGAAAGGAACTTTTTTTTTTTGAGACAAATACAGAGATTAAGAACTAACTGAATCTCAAATCATGAATTTGAAGGCCTTTGCGGAGCAAACATTTGAATGCCTTGTATGTGCAGAATCCTGTGTCTGACTTTAGTCTTGTCACAGTCTGCCCCGAGAAGACCATAGGTCCCAAATAGCACTTGAAAAACAAAAATGAAATAGCTGTGTATAGAGAACAAATTAGAAGTGAGAATTATCAGGGATTGGAGATTATTAAGTAAACAGAAGACAGTGAGTTTGAAGGGAGTGTAGACAAATGGCTTTTCCTATCTCAGTGTTCTCAAAAGAACATTGGCAATAATTTGGGTCCATAGGATGCTAGTTACTAAATTTAACCTTAAAATTGAACATGTGATTTTTTTTTAAAAGATTTTATTATTTTATTTGTGCATACAGAACTGGGGTACAGGCCAGAGGCTCAGGGGCGGCGAGAGGCTTCACCAGAGACAGAGCGGGGAACAGAACAGGCAGATCGACGAAGTACACTGCTGAGGGGAGCAGCGGGCGGGTCAGGAGAGGTCTGCCACGCCATGTGGTCACCTCTGGGGCAGGCGGGAATCAAACTCATGAGGAAGAGGCTTTAGATTCTCAATGCTGTGCTTTAACCCGCTGTGCCACCAGGGAGGGCTGAACCTGTGATTTTTTAAAGATATTGCTATTTCTGAAAATAACAGTATTTTGACTGGTTTCATTGGTCTCATTTTAGCAATATTTGCTGTACTCACAAGTGTCTTGACAAAAGATGACTGGTGGAATCTTCTGTTGAAGGCCATATACTCCTTATGTGACCTATCCCGATTTCAGGAAGCTGAATTACTTGTGGATTCTTCATTAGAATATTACTCATTTTATGATGACAGGCAAAAACGCAAAGAACTAGAATACTTTGGTCTCTCTTCTGCAATTCTGGACAAAAATTTCAGAAAAGCATATAACTACATCAGGTGATTTTTTCCAATAACTTATTTTGATAAGCATATATATTTTACTTTAACTTAGTCTCTCTTGCTCAAAAATTATTGTTTTTGCTCATCAATATAGTTCACCAGTTGTTTTTGGTTGCAGTACATGAGAGTGTGCATATGCAATACTTAGCCACTAAGAAGACAGACATCATAATGTTACCCTCTGACATTGTTGTGGGGATTAAATGAATTATACATGTAAAACCTCTTTATAATGTGTGACATACATTATTAGGTGTTTACTGTATTGTATTTGTAGTGAACAGGAAGAAGAAAGGTAAAACTTAAGCTACTTGATTATGGTTTTTGGTCTGACAGTTTTGTTGAAAAGCAGAAAAAAGATGTAGAACTACTAACAAGCAGCATTTTCTGGAGAAAATCTTTTCACTGTATAAGTAGTTTTGCTTAAGTAGATTAAACATTTTGCTTTTCTTTTTGGGAGATGGTACACTTTATTGCTAGTAGGGCAGTACTGAAAGACTTGATTCTTAGGAATCAGAAAGATTTTCTTGTATTTTTTTTTTTTTTTTTTTTTAAGATTTATTTGTACATACAGAACGGGGTACAGGCCAGAGGCTCAGGGGTGGCGAGAGGCTTCACCAGAGACAGAGTAGGGAGCAGAACAGGCAGATCAACGAAGTACACTGCTGAGGGGAGCAGCGGGCGCGTCAGGAGATGTCTGCCACGCCATGTGGTCACCTCCGGGGCAGGCGGGAATCGAACTCATGGGGAAGTGGCTTTAGCTTCTCAGTGCAGTGCTTTAACCCACTGCGCCACCAGGGAGGGCCTTTCTTGTGTTATTTTTTAACCCCCATCTTCTTTCTGTAATTCTAGGATAATGGTGATGGAAAATGTCAACAGACCCCAACTCTGGAATATTTTCAATCAGGTTACCATGCACTCCCAAGATGTGCGACATCATCGCTTCTGTCTCCGTTTAATGCTGAAAAACCCGAGTAATCATGCCCTGTGTGTCTTAAATGGGCACAATGCTTTTGTGTCTGGTAGTTTCAAGCATGCACTTGGTAAGTGTCCTGACATGTAACCTTGCTAGCCATGGAGTGAAGGTGCAGAGCCTGGCTGCCAGAGTGGGCTGCCTGGTTTTGAATAGCGACTATACTGCATTTAGTCATTTCTGCCTCCCTCTGCTGTGGTTCCTTTATCTCTAAAATGGAGAGAATAAAAAAAATTGGACCTACCTGATAGGTTAGTGGTAAAGTTAAATTAGTTAACATGAAGTACTTAAACAATGCCTATCACAATAGTGCCTGGCTTATACATGTTAATAATGATAATAACTAGTATTTATTTTTCTTTGGAAGTTTTGGTTCCTTATAATTCATCTCAAAGGTCAACATTTGTGCCTGTTTAAGCAAGTTTTTTAAAATAATTTTCATTATTTATGGATGCTTTGCTATTTTATTTAATCTGCAGTAGTACAAAAATGATTTAAGATTTGCTGGTAGGTCATTCGTGTAGGAGACAAGTCTTTAAATCTAGACCATTTGTATGTTTACTAATTCTAAATTAAACTCAGGAAAATTCATTAATCATTTATAAGACATTTTTAAAGAATCACAAGCAAACAACTAGAAAAATACCTAACCAATTGTTTAAACTTAAAATGAGCCATGTATTTCCTGCTACCTGAAAGCTAATGTTGCCAACTTTACTTAGTTTGAGGTAACTGTGGTTCTGGCTAGTTAGTACTTCATGTTTGTGTATGGCTGTTATTTTATAAGTGCTTAGCCAATAACCTTGAACATCAGATATTGAAACCTTTCTCCACTGTGTATGCTTTTTAGAGTTGTTGGTTTAATGTTAAGAAATAATAAAATTTTTTAAAATGTGCATTTATATTCGGAATTAAAATATCGGTAAAGTTTTCTTGCAAAAATACTTGCCAAACGTTGATAGCAATTTTATATATTTACAATAAATTTGAAGTTCATACTATTTTGAAAAACAAAGAAAAACATAAAATAGAGATTTATATTATTTTCCTATATTTAAAAACTTTACACAAGGTGAAAGTAGAAAATCCAAATGACAGTATCATCTGGGCTATTAAAGAGAGTTTTGTTGCTGTTCCTCCTGAAACGAAGCCAGAAGAATAAAAGTTTTATGTATACAAATATAGATCTTTCTTTTTGAAGAAAAATTTGGCTAAATTCTGCCTCAAGTAGTTAGAATTTTGACGAGATACAGAATACATGGAATTCAAAAAACCAAAACTTGCTAGGTTATATGAGGTATATTTCACTTTTCTCATGAAAAACTCAGAAATTACTACATTTGGGGAATCACAATTCATCACAAAAAAACAACTTTTTTTTAGTATTTCCATGATCCCTAACATTTAAGTTTATAATTTAATTATTGTTAATTAATATTACAAAAGAATTCATGAAAAGACACAACCCCCCATTGCTTCCTAGATAGATTTAGACCATAGACTAGATTTATAACAGCAGTTGATAGGTTGTTCATATAGAAGTGCTACTCTGCACGGATTTGGCTGGCTGTGCCTAAAGTAAAGTGACTTTCAGTTGCTCTTAATTAATCTTCATGGTAGGAATGCACTTAATGGTAAATCATCCACTTTTATCATGTTGGTCATTATTTTACAATTCAAATTAATGTGAATTGATAATTTAGAATGTACATCTGTGTATTTTAAGTATCAGTAATTTTTTTTAACCTTAAAGTATATTTAAATAGATGTTTAAGAAACAAGGAACTGTGATCTCGTGACTCCATCTGACATCCCTGCTCATTTTTCAGGACAGTATGTGCAAGCCTTTCGCACCTACCCCCATGACCCTCTGTACAGCCTCTGTATAGGCCTGACCTTTATTCACATGGCATCTCAGAAGTACGTATTAAGGAGACATGCCCTCGTTGTGCAGGTAATTTATTTGGATTTCTTGTCATTTTATGTTTTCTTTAAATATGTGAACAAATATACTTAATACTCTTGCTATCCTGTTTCAAAAGTAATGCCTGGTGAGGTCTCTGTGTTCATCACTCACAAACTCAGTGTCCTTTGTTCTTATCGATTATGGCTATTTGACAGTTTTATGAAATACCTGGTTTGGTGTTTCCGAAGAGTTCTTGTTTTAGTGTGTCATGCCACTACATTGCAGACACAAGTTCTTTGAGAGTGGACCTGTGTCTCTTTTTTTTTAATACTTGCATTCCAAGCACATGGCACATAACAGTGGTTCAAAAGGTACTTGTCAAGTGAGTGAAATATTAAATTGTTTATTTTTCTTTTTGGCAGGGATTTTCTTTCCTTAATCGCTACCTTAGTCTACGTGGACCTTGCCAGGAATCATTCTACAATTTGGGCCGTGGCCTTCACCAATTAGGACTGATTCATCTTGCAATCCACTATTACCAGAAGGCTCTGGAGCTTCCTCCACTAGTGGTAGAGGTATCGTATGACTCACTTGTACAGTGGAAAAATCATTTCTTTTTGTTTATAGAGAAGTGCAGTTAGATCAGTTTTATGTATCAGTTAGCTTATCTAATAATGTCAGTTATTTTCCTTATTCAACGTATTTACATAAATATGTTCAGCAGCAAATGATTTTTGACAACTTGACCTTCTGACCTAAGCAGCAGCCTATGGGTAGATGCAGTTTGTGGTTGTTATGCCCATTGTGGTATTCCTGAGACAGCCCCTGTGGCTTATATGAGCTGATAGATAATGAAGCCTGAGAAGTGAGTGATAAACCATTGTTGACTTCCAAGTTCAGGTATAATTATTATTTCTTCTCAAGGATGAAAGACCATTATGTAGTTTTGTAAACTTTAATATAATTTTTACTCTGATTTCTGAAGAAAATAATATTTTCATTGTTGATTTTTTTAAGTTATTCATAATTCCCACATTCCTTCACAACCATTTTGTTACCCTTATTCAAGTTGATTTAATTGTTAAACAATGAATACATTATTTTATACTTATACTGACAAAATATATAACCTGTGTTTTTTATTCATAAATACTTTTATTACTCCTTAACCTTGTAGATATCATTTTTCATTGTTCCAGATGTTTTCTTAATTGATTCCAAATGTAGTATTGAGGAAAATTAAAAACTTAGATCTGATCTAAGTTCACTGCTGTGGACTCAATGGAATATTTAAGATTCATTTATTTATGCATACAAGAACTGGGATCCAGGTCAGAGGTATAGGGGCTGAGGATTCACCAGAGACACACTGGGGAGCAGAACAGGCAGATCAGGCAGATAGACAAAGTACACTGCTGAGGGGCACAGTGGGCTGGTCAGGAGAGGTCTGCAGCGCCATGTGGGTCACCTCCTGGGCCAGGGGTCAAACTCCTGCTGCAGTGGCTGTGGATAGCTTCATAGTGCTGCACTTTAACCCATTGCACCACTATGGAGGGCCCCACTTGTGTCACTTAAACTGAATCAAAAATAATAATACCTCTAAGTTAGTCATTATAATCAATTTAATGTATGCCCCCCCCCGGACTTAATCTTAATATGCGTTTCTGTTATATAGTATATAGTTTTTTTCCAACTGGTCATTTGTGTTATATTATTTTTTTATGTGCAAAAGTTTTACATTCTTTTATGAATTCATGTCTATTAATTTTTTACCTTTCTATCTATTCTATTATACTGAGGAGGTTCTTTCTTACCTAAAATGGTATTATTACTCAACTGCATTTTCATGGTTTTTTTTTTTTTTTTTTAACTCTTAAGTTCTGGAGTTTATTTCTTTGTGGCTTGTGGGTAAGACTTTAAGTTACTGGTTAGACATTGAAAATTTTTTGATGATATGGTTACTGTAATGATTGACTGAATCCACATTATCTGATAAAACTTTAGATTGAAGATATTTTAGAAGTTTTATGTTTTTAGTATTTAGTTTTGAATATTCACACTTACAGAACTGTTTATTGCCATAAATTGTCCTGATTTTTAGTTTGAAATATAATTTATTCATGTACTTCTCTCCCTAGGGTATGGAAGTTGACCAGTTAGACTTACGAAGAGATATTGCCTACAATTTGTCTCTTATTTATCAGAGCAGTGGGAATATTGGAATGGCTCAAAAACTTTTGTATACCTACTGTGCTATATAAAACACCTCAACTGGAAAAGGAGCATTGGGTAGCTGCGGTGTGTGGACCAAGAGTTTCTCTCTGTATTTCATTTTTAATTTGCGACAATGATCTTTTGGTTATACACAAAATTACCGTTCCTTCAAAAATTTATATATTGGTTTCCATTTTCCTTTAGCACTTTTTAGTGAATTTGACCCCAAGCTGATGTAAGCAATATTAGCTTTATTGTCAGCCTGGAGTTGAATGCAGTAATGCTTTCCTTCAGCTTTTTATTCAGCTGTGTATTTCATACCATATGTTAAACACCTGTGCTGTAGAAGGCACTGTGATAGGCATTTAGATTACAGAAATAAGGGAGATGTGACCTCACGGTACAGATATTCAGAGAAATGTTTGCTGTATTTCTACAGACGTCATCATTATCAGTTACTGCAGTTTTGGTTTCTTGGCCCAATTCCCATGTGCGTGTGGATGTGCTGACGCTTCCTTTCCCTAAGCAGTGAGTTTCAGACACCAGTGGAGTGTCCAAGAATTCAACTCAGTCCTGACACTGTCTATCCAGAAATTTCAGGTTGCACAGATTAAGGGCTCAGTCTCCTAAGACCACCCTGTCCTTCATATTCTGGGTGCAGATCATAGGTGAGACCATGCTTCTGACCAACTAGCTGTATACCAGAAGTCCCCATAATCCTCCTTATATTTCAGATTCTATTTACAAGCGCAAGTTTTTATCTGTGCTGGCCAACTGACTATAAATCACAGGGTCCCAGGACACCCTCCTCAGGTTCAGTTAATTTGCTAGAGTAGCTCGCAGAACTCAGGAAACCTATTTACTCACTGAATCACCAACTTATAATGGAGGCTAAGGGATATGAACCAACAAGCCAGATGGAAGAGACGCATAAGGCAAAGTGTGAGGGAGAGGCTCAGAGCTTCCATGTCTTCTCCAGGGGTACCAGTCTCCCCAAATATTTACATGTTCGCCAACCTGGAAGCTCTCAAACTGCCCCCCACTCGAGTTTTTATTACATAGGCATGTCTGCTTAATTCATTGACTACTGGTGATTGGACGCTACCTCTAAGCCCTCCACCCCTGTGATCAGGGGTAGGATGGCAAGCTCCACTTTTTATTCTAGTTGGCATCCCTGGTAACCAGCCCATCCTCCAGTATCTTCAAAGGTTACCTTCATGACCATAGCAAAAGACAGCTTTATCACAACACTTAGGGGATTCCCAGGGGAGTTGTGAATGAAGATGAAATGTACACGACAAATATATATTTTGGTCATTTGAATGGCCAAATATATTTTTTGTAAATCTCAATATCACAGTCATCTGTGTCTTAGTGCCCTATTACTATTGTATGGGCTTTTTTTGGGGGGGAGGTGTAGAGAGAAAAGAAGGATGCTTATTAAAGACACAAATCATGACTTTTTCTTATGTCAGCACAATTATGTAACTCACTTAGCTCCTAACAGAATTATTTAGAATCATGTGGTGGAAAGACAATTAATTGATAACACCTTTTACTTTTCACCTGCATGTATGTTAGCTAGACAGATGTACCTGGGAGCTGGGAAAACCATCCATGGTAAAAAAAATATATCAATGTTTCTGACTTTCTGATAACAAAATAGAAAAGAGGACCATGTTCAGTAACATGACTTGCTTTCCATTTTAGAATTGCTGAGAATGTAACCTGGACTAGACAATTGTATATATGGAATAAAGTTTTGCTGATGAAGCAAAACAAAAAAAAGACAATAACCCGTTACCTCAAATATTTTATATTTAAGGTAATCACATTCACTAGGTATGCTCTGGTTTAGTAATAGCTTTTGAGAGTTCCTTTTTAGGGGAAAATAGATGATAAAATAAGTGTACATAAGGATCGAAAGACCCAGCCCAGTTGTGGGAAGGAAGCAGGTATGTGCTTAGGATCAGAGACGTGGAATGGGGCTTTCAGCATTTCTTAAACACTATTTATACTGTATATATAACTTTCTAGTTGAGAAGGAGAATTTGTATGTAGTAAGTAAATTGTTCATTCTGTATGTGAGTATGTATGTGTGCATATATAATAAAATTTATATTTAAAGTGTGTCACATGCTTACATGTATAGATTATTTCATGCTGTTTTCAGGTAATGATAAATCTAACTGACAAGTAAATATGTTAGATTTGTGTCTTGGTATCCTGAGGAATTGAGTATTTTGTATCAGAGTTTCCCTCTATAGTTAAACATTGTCTGCTGAATAACAGTGGAAGAAACTACTTTTTAGTAGTTTTATTAGAAAAAGATATTGCTTGAGTTTTGGGGTTTTTTAGCATTTAATGTCAGTTACCATGCTACTATGTGTTAAGTACAGTGCCAGGTACTTTAGATACCTTATCTCAGATTCTTAGAAAACCCACAAGTTAGGTGTTAACTGTTATTACCATCTCCATCTTCTATATGAGATATTAAGTAGCACTTTCAACATCACTAGCAAGCTACTTTTGGCTCCCAGATGTTTCTTCAGAGGAAAATACTTGCTCCAGTTAAGCATAACAATATAAAAATTGCACATACATTTATATTTCATGTGTTCAACCTATTAAAATCCCTGGTAGAGTAGAAAACAGCTTATGGGGACATGTTTTTAAAAGTTGATGCTTCTTTACCTGTCAGTCTTACCCCAGTATAGGGCCCTCGTGGTCACTTCATACATTTAGATTCTTTTCTTCCTGACAGTCAACTCAGCAGGGAATTGACTCCTGTGTCAAGATGGAGCAATCACGTATTTCTTTTCTCCTTACCTGAGAATGTTGGAATTAGAGTCTGTCTGTTGGATTCAGACTTGAGAGCTGAGACCATTTTTTGCTTTTCTTGTGACCCAGATACTCCAACTAACCCACCCTGTTGAGAATGAAAAGAAGGCCTGTGTGCTGAGCAGTAGACATTGCTGAGTTTCCCGCATTTTTCCAGCTGTCCATTTTCATTCTAAGACTTCAATCTTACGCTTGGGTTCTTTCTATAAGATAGTGTCAATTCTAGAACAAATTCTACTTTTACACTAGCTAGCAATTTTCTGTCACACCCAAAAAGGGTCTTCACTGATCTATGTTCCATCTTCCTTTCATTTAGTATTTATGCTTCTTAGCATAAATGTCATAAGGTAAGACATGCAATCACTGGGATAATGTTTTCGAGTTGTAAAATGTGTCATGAAGGCTGAGTCAATTTTTCAGGCACGATATAGCTGCCATCTGGTGGTATAAAGTCAATAGCAGTTTACCAATAACTCTTAACAAAACAAAACAAAACACCTCATTCTTTGGAGGTTTTACCTAGGAGTAAACAATATGAATTGACAGGGTGATGTTTCTATTAAGTGAAATGTAGTGTTAGGTAAGATAAATGAAAATAGAAGAAAATAAAATCTTCACTCTGATCAGATCAAACTGACTTAAGAAATGAAACATGGAAAAGTGTATGGGCACTTATTAAAAAAAAAAAATGTGAAGAACTCTAGAAGGAAATCAAGATTCTCAGCCTACAGCAAAATTTGAAAAGGACTGATATTTTCAAATCAGGGGACGACATGGGAGAGTGATTACTCTTACTTTGGGTAGCCCAGAATAAAATCACAATTTTTTTCCTAACCTAATTCATGAGATGTTCTTTTCTAATATTGTATTTATCTCCTGTACAAGTACTGGCAATTTTTTGGGGGGGTAGCAGCTAACTTCTTTTTCTGGAACTGGCTCCCAGTAATGACCAAGTCTTTCTGGCCATTGCTAACTAAACTTGATGGAAGCTGGGCCAAATATATCCTGGTATTATGAAGCTTGCCTGAAGAGATGATGAAATTTGGTGTCTTTGACCGTACCCCTGCAATACTTTATGGAAAAGGGGAAAAGAATCCTTCTAAGGTACCTGGAGAGCTTCCTTCACAAGTAAGTCTCCCTGTGAATCTCTGTGAGAGAGGTATATCCTTCCAATAGGTTCCTTTCTTAAGCAAGTATGTTGGGTTAGGTTCTTTAGGAAGCAAATGTCAAGGAGTACAAAAGGTGTCTTGGAACACTGTGGAGAGTGAGGGGCAGACTTAGGCAATACAATGCAGACTGGGCAGTCTGTGCCAGCCCAACTGGATGGGGGTGGGGGGGTTGGGGGGGGAAACTACCTGTGTGGGGAGCCTCATGCTGGGGATATGGCTGGCTCTGAATGCCAGCCTTACTCAGTCATTGGGAGTCACCAGGGAGGAGCTTAATCTTAGTTGCCTTTATGTTGGTCACTCATTGGCTGGGGGCCTCCCTGAGAAGAGCATGACCTCTGCTCTGAAGTGAGGCACTGCTTGAAGTTGCTAACAGCTGGAGGCAGTCAGTTAACCATTCTCATCCTTAGAGAAACCAGAGAGAATCAAGACCAAAAACAAACATCCATAAAACAAAAACAGACCTAACAAATACACAGTGTAAAATCAAGACCAAAGAGAATAGATGACAGACTGATGACTAAACTGTCTGGAAACTAAAAAGCAAAAGGGCAGTTGTCACTAAAGCCAGAGAAAATGAAAGTCAAGGCCCACTGGAGGTGGTGGGGAGACAACCAGAGCAGCAGTGTCTAGTCCTAGGTGGTTCCTGCACTAGTCTCTGAGAAATGGGAGGTGATTGCTGGGGTCTTTGAGAGTCTGTTAAAAGCAGTGAGAGCCTGCTGGTCACCTTTTCTGTGGCCTGCAGGTTACAACATCCTGTGTTCTACAGAAATGATAGGTTGGTGGTTTTCTCCACCCCACCCCCACTCCAGTGCTGTTGAATTAGGATCTGTCATAGTTTCAGTCATAGCTAAAGGCACAGTGTTACACCGGAAACAGAGTAAATAAGTCTCATGGCTAACTGTCAGAAAGCTGGCAGCCAGGTGAACACCCTTTAAGGGCAGCATTAAGGAGCTCCTCTCAGATGAACTCTGCCAAGGGGAAAACCTACAGAGACTTAACAGCTAAGCCCCTGTGAAAGAGCATGGTCCTGGCCAGGAACCCCTCACCCCGCTCCAGTGTGCCCCAGTCAAGCCCCAGGAACATTATTGGTCATGGGAACACACAACTGAAGATCATTAGACTTGAGGAACACCTCTGAATGACAGCTGCTTAAGACAAATGGGAAGTGACAACAGAACTAATGCAGGAAATAAAAAAATTGTAATAGCCCAAGATGAGAAAATTTCATAGATCTGAACAGGAAAATGCTCTCAAAATGAATAGAGAATGACAGCTTTATATAATTAAAAAGCTCTAAAATTAAAATTAAAGGGTTGGGTGAAATAGATTTTTTTTTAAAGATTTATTTGTGCATACAGAACTGGGGTACAGGCCAGAGGTGCACGGGCGGTGAGAGGATTCATCAGATGCAGAGTGGGGAGCAGAACAGGCAGATCAACGAAGTACACTGCTGAGGGGAGCAGCGGGCGGGTCAGGAGAGGTCTGCAGCGCCATGTGGTTACCTCCGGGGTGAGGACTGAACTCATGCTCAAGTGGCTTTAGCTTCTTAGTGCTGTGTTTTAACCTGCTGAGCCACCAGGGAGGGCCCAAAATAGAATTTTTAGAAGAAAATGGAAAACTCAAAAGGTGAGAAAATTATAGTTTGTAAAACAGTCTAATTTACTTCTTTGTGGCCATTTTCATGTCTCATAAGTTCATGTTATATTTCAAGGCATATGATTATAAATAATCCCTGGAGGAGGAACAAACTCCTGCAGTGATTTTTTTCTATGCAATAGATTTCTATAAATTTAGGATTGTAGTATATCATTTTGTTTTTGTAACACTGTGTGCCAGCTATTAAATTTTAAACCTACCCCCCCCCCAAATTTGAGCTTAAACTATTTTTAATTGGGTAGGATATATTGCAGTAACTTCTTCCACATTTGGGTAATCAACCAAAAACTGCCCTTTCCAGCACTGTCAGCTGGATTCCTAAGGTGTCCTTTGCTGTCCATTTTTCAGTCTTGATCCCCTCCCTCAAATGGCTAGCAGACATCAAGGAAACCATAGCATGCATATAAAATTTCTAATCACTGCCTGAAGACACACCCAAGTTTACCTTGCTTGCAGACTCAAGCAACTCAAGATTAGAGGGAGAATTAGCAGAACCACTTGGTGACTTTGTCCAGACAGGTGTTTGCATTCAAATGAGTGAAGAGAGAGGAGGCAAAGCTCATACACAGACCCTTGAGCTCAATGACCCTCAGCTGCGCAAGAGTGGGGGCGGACACAGCCAGTTCCAAAGAGGTCAGCTCTGACCCAGCCTTCTGGCTCTAGGAGTGCTGTGGACCCTAACTGCCAGGTCTCGTTTCAGAACGGTTTGGATGCAGCAGCAGTGCTTTTTAAGCATCTCTGATCCCTATTGATACTCGAAAGAAGCATTTTTCTAGTAACAGGCTTTACGGAAGTAGCTCGATCTTGAACAGAGCTGCTTGGTTAAGTTCGCGCAGTGGGTGGATGGGGCGTGGCCCCGCAGCCTCCGCGGTCCAGGTGCTGCCCAAGATCCACCCTCGGCGGCAGAGGCGGGAGTGACGACTCTCACCACTAGAGGGAGCAGCGCGCTCGCGGAACTCCGCGGCCCGGGGCCTCCCCGGAGCGGAGGGCTCTCGTCCAGGAGCCGCTGTGAACCCCATAGGTGGTGCGGTTTTTACCTGCTTGCCCAAACATGAAAAAGCGTGCGAAGTATTACCTCGGAGTCGTGCTCCAGACGCAGTTGCAAACCAGACTTCGGGTGAGTGCAGAAAAATTCCCATTGGCTCTCTTTCCAGATCCTCAAAGTCTAAATAAATCCTGGTAATTTCAGCGGTGTTAAGTGACTGGTAGGTTTTCTCTCCTCTCTTTACTCTGTTCTCCCATCTCAAGGCGTTTGCTAGGGGCCCCTGGCAAACCTGAGCGAAAAGACTTAGCGAGTATGTTAACATGTTTAAGTCCTGGGGTGTCAAGCCGCGTGACAGCGTGAAGGTGCGTGTGTCTTGCGGGTGATTCGCGTGCAAAGCCCGGGGTTTTGTTCCGAGGATGCCTAGGCCTGGCGCTGGAGTCGCACTTCCCGGACCGCTGTGCGGTTGTGTGAGGAGACCTTG